CTTAACAAAGTCTCTCACCCTATATGCAAGGGAGAGAGAGGAAGGAGGGGAGGACAGGAAAGAGGGGGAACAAAAAGACAAGGAGGAGGGAAAGGAAAAAGAGAGGGGGAAATAGAAGGGAAGGGAAAGCAAGAGATGCAGGCTGAAGAAAGTATAGTTGGACAAATTCAGATTTGACTGAATGACCAAATCCAAAGAGTAGTCATTATTGGATTCATGTAAAACTTGCAAAGAGTTGTCCAGGGTAATGTGTAATGTAATTAGGGATCTGCCCAGACCCTGCCACAGGGCATTTACCAATGTCTTCAATAAAGCCTTAGAAGGCATTCTTATGGAATTTGGTTTGGCACAAAGCTGAAAGAGATAAGTAAAAATGGTGAGAGACTCAAAGAAGATCTTACTAAGCTAAAATGAAGGACCAAACTATTAAGATGAAATATACAGTTCTATACTCAGGTTAAAAAAAAATCAACTGTAAAAGTACAGACTGGGGGAGATGTGACTAGATAAAGGATTTAGGGAGTTTTATGGATTGTAAGCTCAATGAGTAAACGATGTGAAATGACAGATGGAATAATTAGCCTGGAGAAGAGAAAACTTTGGTGAGGACCCGAGAACTGTCTTCAAGTACCTGAAGGGCTGTTAGACTAAACTGGTATATGGGATAGTGAATCTGGTAGAGAAAAAGGATCAGACTTGTTGTACTAGGCTTTGTACAAAGGCAAAAGGCTTAAGGACAATGAGTAGAAGTTGCAGAGAGGCAGACTTAGGACTGATAGAAGGAAAAGCTTTCTTCCAACTTTGGTTCATGCTAAGAACGGGCCGTCTTGGGAGGTAGTGTGATCTACTAACTACAAGTCTCTCTGTAAAGAAAAGCTGAAAAAACACTTGCTGGAGATCTTATAGAGAAGATCCTTGTGGTTAAAGGGCCTCTGTGTTTCATTTCAAGTCTGAGATTATCTGGTTCTGAAAACAGGTCAGGTTTTATTTGTGATTTTATTCCTTATTTTGTTTTTATTTGTTGAGATCATTAATTTTTTTTAAGGTACTAGAAGTAAATAACCTACAGGAAATCTGGCACCTTAAAACAAAAAAAAGAACATTTCTTCAGAAGCACATACTATGTAATGGTAATCCAAATGATAAAGGGTTCAAAAAGACATAATATATGAATAATTGGAATATAAAGAAGCAGATATTATAGAGAAAATAAAGCTTTTCTCAAACAGACAGATTATCTAAAATAAAGAAGCCTACATTGTGTTGCAAGTGAGTTACCAACTATAGAAGGAATGTGCTGGCTTCCAAAGATATTAAGAGATTTTAGAATATATGTATATTAAAATTGTATGTGGCAGCCATCTACCACTATCTGGCTTAAACCTACCTTTCCAACTTAACTTCATATTATTCTCCTGCATGCATCTGACATCCCAAGTAAAACGTGAACTCCTTGCTCAGCCCCACTTTCTAGAATACTTTATGTCCTTCAAGGCTTTTTTCAGCTATCACCTCCTCCAGGAAGCATTCACTGATTTTTCTTCCCTCCCCCTTCCATTGTTAGTGTAATGTCCCTCTCAATGTCTGCCCTTTGCACACCCTGATACTTGCTGGATTAGGTGAGAAACAGGTCTGGATAAATATGAGAAACTATGATGGCTCAGCACTAAGAGTCTGAGTTGGAGAGGAATGTCATAGCACCAGCTTCTCCAGGAGGGGTTGGAAATCATAACCAGGAATGAGATAGCCAGGACTAAGAAAATCTTCCATCTTTTCTCAAATTCATTCCTTTGCCATGAATCCCAGGGGCAGTTCTTCCAGTCTCACTCTCTGCTTTTCACTACTGTTCCAAGTAGCATTCAAAGCTCTCCTTAACCTGGTCCCCTCTTACCTTTACAGTCTTCTTATGCTTTACTCATCACCCCACGGACTCTTCCACCCAGTGACCCTGCCCTCTGTGCTCCATACCGCCTCTTCACTGGCTGCACCACCCACCACCCACCACTCCCCTACTTCCCATGCCTGGAATGCTCTTCCTCCTCATTCCTCTTTTCTGCCTCCTGGTTTCCTTCCCAGGTAAAATTTCACCTTCTACAAGAAAGCTTTCCAAATTCCCTTGAATGCTAGTGACTCCCCTCTGTTGCTTATCTTTAATTTACCTTGAATTTATTTATGCAGTCTGTATACAATTGTTTGCATATTGCCTCCCTTTAGATTGTAAGCATCTTGAGATCAGGGACTTCACTTCTGTCTTGTATCATCAGAGATTAACACAAAACTTGCTCTAAGTAGGTGCTTAATAAATGACTGTGGATTAACGAAATGGTTTCCAAGGTTGGAAGTGGTGGGGGACAGTGTGGGGAGCTGTCATCAAATCAGAAGATGGGAAGAGAAGTCACATTCCAGCCTTCCCTCAAAAGCCAATCACGGGGCTTGTCTCCAAGGCAACCATACTTTCACTCACTGTCATCTAAACCTCCACCACTCTGCTCACTCCCCTAGATTTCTCCCTCCTGCTCCAGAGTGGGCCCCTCAGGGAAATTTTAACTTTGCTCAGGGTACCCTCATCAGCAACAGGGCATATAACTTGGGAAAATGCCATCTTTCTCCATCCTCCCCCCTCCCAGTATACCCATATCCTGTCCTCCAAATCACTTCACAGCTACAATAGGTATTCCTTTAGTTGGTAATAGCCCCTCCCCACATTCTTTTCAATTTCAGTGAGTCAAAGCAAGGTGTAAGAGATGAGCAGACATTCTTCACAATCCAGCCACACTGTTCCTTACATAAGATGCGCTGCCTCCCACCTGCAGGCATTTGTATTGGTCATCCTCCATACCTGGAATGTTCTTCCTCCACACTTTCACCTCGTGGAATCCCTGGTTTCCTTTTAGTTTCCTTTCACCTACTGTGGAAGACATTTCCTATTCCCATAAGTTATGATGGCCTTCTCCTCTAACGCTACTTTGATTTATGTACGTCTTAGGTAAACATACATACACATAGATATACACACATTTTTTTTTCCATTAGGATGTGAGCTCCTTAAGAGAAAAGACTTTTACTTTTGTCTTTGTATCCAGAGGGCTTAGCACAGTGCCAGACTCACAGCAGGTGCTAAATAAATGCTTGTTGATTGATACCTAGAACCAAGACCAGTGGAATTAAGTGAATGTGTGCCATCACACCTTTTAACTATGGTTTCATTAGCACCCCAGAATCCCTTTACCCCTCCGAAATTCTACCACACTTGCCTTACTGATCTCCAATTCTGGATATCCCCTCTCTTCCAATACCTAACTGGCTGTTGAAGGCTCTACAGTCACAAAACCATTCTCCACTAAGGCCATTACAAATTCGTGTTCTATGATCTCAGCTAAACTTTTGTTCAACAACCTTTTTATACCTCCTTTATTAACTCATCAGATTCCCCAGAGACTATTCCAAGCCCACATCTCAAAGCCTATCTTATTCAAATGACAACTCCCACTTCACTGAAAAACCAAGGGTAGCCAACAAAATAAGCTAAAATCTTCTTTCTATACCTCAAAACTTCTCTTACCCATCCTCTCCTGCCTCAACAGAAGACGTGTTCCTTCATAATAAAGCTAATCTTTAGGTAAGTGAACAAGCATTTATTAAGTGCCTACGGATGCTAGGCACTACGATAAGCCCTGAGGAAACAGATTACTGTCATCTTTCCAGGACTCTTAAGAGTATACATCTATCAATCACTCACTCCAATTACTCTCTTTACCCTGCCTTTAAAAATGTTCAAGTCTCCCATCTTCGAAAAAAGAAAAACAAAAACAAACCAAGACAACAACAAACCAATTTTCCTTTACCCTGTTAATTCCTTGAGTACTAACTCTCATTCATTGGGAAACCTCTTTTCTTTTCTTTTTAAAAAGTTTCACTGGTGCTTGTTTACACCAGATAATTCCCAATATTGTCCCTCCCCCGGTAGAAATCACTCCATTGTCATAAAGACAGTTAAGCAAAACCAACTGATAGTGTCTAAGCAACATTTGACACCATCAGTCCTCCACCTCTTTAGTGAGAAGGGACAAATAGGCTTCATTCCTCTGGAACCAACACTGCTCATTTGAGTTGAGCTGCCTTTCAGTGTTGTTTTCATTTACACTGCTATAGTCACTGCATATAATTCTCCTTGTTTAGATTACTGTACTCTGCATTAGTTCCTATGTCTTCCCATGCTTTTTTGAATTCTTCATATTTGTAGCTTTTTACAGTTCAGTAATTTTCTATTCACGCACCAGTTTCTTCAGCCATTCACTATCAATGGCCACCTGCTTTTTCCCCAATATTTTGCTACCATAACAAGTATTGCTGCAAATATTTTGATATATAGGGAAGCTTTTTTTTCCCTCTTGTCTTTGACCTCCTTGAGAGCCCAATAGAGGCATCAATAGATCAAAGTATCTGAAGAATTTAGTAACTTCTTTCTTATAATTCCAAATAATTTTCTGAAATGGCCTTGGGATCAATTCCCAACTCCAATAGTGCTTCAGTATACTATCTTCCCCAAACAGTCCCAATACTATTTCTTTTTTTTAATCATCTCTGTCACTTTGATGGGTATGAAATGAAAGCTCAGTTAATTTAATGCATTTTTCTTTCATTATTTTGGACCATTTTTTCACATGACTGTTGCTGGTTTACAATTCTTCTTTTGAAAACTGTTTATGTCCTTTGATGACTTATCAGGGAATGGTTCTCAGTCTTAGACTACAAAAGATACATGTGTGAATTCTTTATAATCCTTGGACTATCAGACTTTTATTCAAGCACTGCCAAACTGAAAAGAATAACTTTTATTCTATCACTATCTGCTTCTCCATATCATCCTACCATTTCATTCCTTTACCCCTTGTCATCTGGCTTCTCTCTCTACCACTACTACAATACTGGTTTTTTTTTAAAGGTCATTAATAATTCTTAACTGCTAAATTCTCAGTTCCACCATCTCATTCACTCACATGACATCCAACACTGAGTCATTTCGAATGACTTTGTGAGAGATATCAGCCAGCAGGAATAGTCCTCCATCTGTCCGTCTGATGCTAGCTGCATAGCCTGGCCAGATTTGCAACCTTAAATGAGAAAAAACAAACAAACCCAAAACAAGTGCTCTTTAATCCAGGGATCCTGGAGAAAGATTTTATTCTCACATTTAAAACAATGATACTAGACAGAGATTACTGTTCCCTTGTAACAATACCATGGAATTTGGTAATTGACAGAGTCAAATCTAATATCAGTTTGATTTTACTTTAAAAATTTGAAAGGAAAGCATTTGATTAGATTTTATAAATTTTTATCATATCATTCCATTATTCATTCTGTTTTTTATATCAACAAACTATAATATTCTAAAGTCTAAAAAGGAAAAATCTGTGAAGAACACTCAAAAAATGAGAAATATGTTGCCAACCTGTGATGTTGTAGTATCATAGCACTCGAAGGATCATAGAAATTCCTTCCCACAAGTTTCATATCTAAAAGTTTCATTACCCTGCCAAAAGAAAACTCCAGGATAAGTGTTCTGTCAGAGAACAATTAATTTCCAAGTCTAGCAGGTCTTCCTTTGTCCCATAAGTAATAACTTTTATACAGTTGAAATAAGACTTCCAAAAGATAAATGAAAGTTACTGATATACTCATCTTGAGGCAGAAGTGTATACACACACACACACACACACACACACACACACAAATACACATACATGTGTATATGTCTGTGTATATGTATAAAATCTTATTTTTATTGAGAACCTTCCCCACTCCCTTATCTAGAAAGCCATCTCTTATAATGTAGATTTTTAAAAAAGGAAAAAAACAGTTCAACAAAACTAATTAACTTTACATATATATATGTTTGATGTAACTTATTACCCACATTATATATATTTGGTGTAACTTCATGGCTAATAATTTGCCATAATAAAATGAGATATACATTTTGTTGCAACCTCATTGCTAGTACTTTGCCATATAAAATTCAATCTACTTCCCTACTTTGTGGATTATAACTGTCTATCATTACTAGAAAAGAATGGAAGAGCATTCACTTTTGAGGTGATTAATCCATCAGTACTTTTTCCCTGGCAAAGGAAAAAAATTTCCTCTACTAAAAAAAAAGTTATCCCCAGTTGCCAAAAAGAAAATGGAAATGGTATTCTAGCAAACTGAAAAAAGGTAGTATATTAGTAGGATGGCCTTATGAAAGTTACATACATTCTTTTTTTTTTTTTTTGGCTAGGCAATTGGGGTTAAGTGACTTGCTCAGGGTAACACAGCTAGTAAGCATCGAGTGTTTGGTCTGAGGCAAGACTTGAACTCAGCTCCTCCTGACACCACGGCCAGTGCTCTATCCACCTCGCCACCTAGCTGCCCCCCTTAAATACATTCTTAAAATGAAGAGAAAGCAAATAAGAGCAGTCATTAAAAATCTCCAAAAAATATAGTGTAAGGCATAGATGATAGGCTGAATTTTCCCCCCAACCCTTTTAAAAATCTTTACAAGGGATATATTGATAGAAAAGGGAAGAGAATGGATACATTCATAAAGGATATCAATAAAAATAAATTTTTTTAAAATCTGCAGGAAACATTAATACAATTAAGGAGAAACACTTTGATGGATATTTCTATATACCATTTCCAAGGGGAGGTATGTATATGTGTATATGTGCTTTATGCATATTAATTTCAAGAGTCCCTACTGGAACCCAAAAGACCCATGTTTCCTTAACTAATACAAAACTTGTTTTCATAGACCCAACTCTCTTTATTGGGCTTCTTGAGAATACAATCCTTCACTGAGAGAATCAGAGTTGTCCTTTCTAACTGTTCAAAACTTTAAATTAAGCCCAGGCTGCAGGTAATGCTAACCATTCTCCTCAAGAATATTAGTATTAACTTGAAAAGAGAGATTGAAGACAAATAAATTAAAAGAACAAAAGTGTCCAGGTAGCCTAATACTTCTAGGAGAATAAGTACTACTTTATTCCCAACTGGTTCTCACCGCCGAAAAACAACATTGTAGAAAGGAATACACAAGTCAGAGCTGGGTTCCAAGATCTTGGTCATTTGAATTTTGATGGTGATCTCAGTACCATCAGTCTTCCTCTGACTCTTCAACTCAACAGCCTAACAAGAAACAAAATTCAAATGAAAATTATAACGGCAAGCTCCCAAGCCTTAATATATTCCAATTGTGTCTTACACATGAATTATGGCAAATACTACTAGGCAAAATCATAATTGGATTTGAAAAATTCTTAAGCTCCAGGAGAACTCATTTAAACATTACCCATACTCCCAAAGCAGGAGTATGTTAGGGTTAGGGATTCAAAATAAATCTCAATTCCTAGATGCAAAAATTTTCAACCATTTTTCTAGAACAAGAAGGTGTATCTGGATTTACTATTCATGCCAGTATTTGCATATGCAAGAACCTCTGGTCTATTAGACAAAAGCCTTCTCGAAAATTATTTAGAATTTACAAATAAAATATTCAAAGACTACAGGTTTTCCCACCATTCAAACCACATGATCATGCCTAGGTTGCCATTTAAAGAACAACGCCTCTGCGTCTCACTTGCTGAAGTCTAATGGGCAGATAGAGGATGGCTCCATCAAAAGCAGTGACATCTCCAGTGACAGATCGATGGTCCTTCAACATGCCAAACCTCATACTCTTGCATTCCACATTGGGGCTAGGAATCAAGCAAAAGGTTCAAATTCAATACAAGTGAACAAAGCAGCATTCTTACATTATCACTAGTAAGAAGCAGTTATGTTCATAACTGCTGCCCCATCTAGTGGCTACACAAAACTCTAAACCATCTTCACAAAGCTGTAATAAACTTTAGTGTGAGATTCGTAATTAAACAAGAAAATTAGAAACCAAGCAAATGATATTCATTTAGCTATGTGTGATGCCCAACACTGGGTTAGATACAAAGATAATTAAAACAATCAATTCCATACACATTTACTTAACTGCCTCTTATGTGTAAGATACTGTATCAAGTATCTTGAAGGATAAAAAACTGAAAGAAAAAACCAACAGTTCCTTCTCTCAAGGAGCTGGGAAAGTACAACATATACTTAGAAAAGCAAATACTATATATATATATATATATACACACACACACACATATATATATACATATACATATATATATATATACACACACATATACAACAAAGTAATATGGGAGGATAGTCAGTCACTCAATAGGCATTTATTAAGTACCTACTATGTGCCCAAGCACTGTGCCAAGCCCTTGGGAATCCAAGAAAGGCAGACAGTCCTTGCTCTCGAACTTACAATCTAACAGGGAGACAATTTGCTGACAACTACGTACAAACAAGCCATATGCAGGTTAACTAGGAAATCAACAAAGGGAAAGCACTAGAGTTAAGAGGCACTGGGGAAAAGCTTCTTATAGAAGGTGGGATTTTAGCTAGGACTTGAAGAAAGCTAAGGAAGCCAAAGAGGTAGAAATGAGGACAGAATTCCAGGCATGGTGGCACAGCGAGAGAAAATGCCCAGAGCTGAGAGATGGAGATGTCTTATTTGGACAACAGCAAGAGGCTGGTGTTGCTGGATGGAAGACTATGTGATGGTTGTGTTTAGGGGTGGGGAAGGTATAAAAAGACTGGAAAGGTAAGCAGGGGCCAGATCACTGAATGTCAAACAGATGAGTCTGTATTTGATCCTGGAGGTGATAGGGAGCCACTGATTAGAGTTTATTGAATAGAGGAATGACATGGATTGGAAAATTTTAGGATTTTAGGAAAATCACTTTAACAGCTGAACAGAAGATGGACTCAAGTGAGGAAAGATTTGTGACAGGGGGACCAACCAGCAGGCTATTGCAATAGTCTAGGTGTGAAGAAAGGAGGACCAATACCAGGGTGGTGGCAATATCAGAGCAGAGAGGGGGCATATTTGAGAGATATTGCAAAGGTAAAATCGACAGGCCTTGTCAACAGACTGGATATGGGGGGGGGTGAGGGAGGAGAAGGTGGTATGAAAGACAGTGAGGAGTCAACATGACACCTATGATGCATGTCTGGGGGAATGGAAGGACAGTCATCCAATGAGTTGAGCCTGGAGTTGAACAAGAAGAGACTGAACTGGATTGCCTTTGGGACACTGCAAGGATGGCACTACAACTACGGGGTTAGGAAATGCATCCCATAGGGTGACACCAGAGGTTAACCTTAAAGGAAGGTAGGGATTCTAAGAAATATTAGGAAGAAGAGAATGTATTTGAGGAATGGGGAACAGCAAGGACACTGAAGATAGACTATCAAGTGCAGAGAACCACAAGTCGGCCAGTCTGGATCGAAAGGGAACACGAGAAGATGAGTAATATGAAACTTACCTAGAAAAGTATGCTAGAGCCAAAGTATGAAAAGCCACTTGGGACCCAGTGAAGATTCTTGATCAAGAGTGACAAGGCCAGATCGATGCTTTAAGCGGATTACTCTGGCAGCCGTGTGGAGGGGCAGACTGGAAGCAGAAAGGCCAATGTTCCCATTGACTGTGGTCAGAGAAGGACAAGACAAGGTTGCAAGAGAAGAATCAAAGAGATGAGTCACAGAGCAGGACAAAGAGAAGTACTTCTGACTAGATCACAATTCCAGCCCCATCCTCAGAACCATCCTTGCCCTAACGTACCTTCCAATTTAGAACTGGGCTTTGGGGGAACAAAAACGGGATGAAATATAGGCAAAGATACATAGGCCATATTTATTCTTTATGTGAAACACAATAAAACATACTATAATGCAAAACAGAATATGGTACAGAGTGCTATGTAAGGCCAAGAGAAGGGAGATTTATTTCTGATGAGAGAGATCAGTGACGATTTTAGGAAAGAGGCAGCATTTGAACTGGGTTTTAAGACATATGAGCAGAATTTCAAAAACAGTTGGGAGAAGTGAGGGGAAATGTTCCAGGCATAGGGAATGGTGTGAACAAAGGCACAAGGGTGAATATGACAAGTAGTTCAGTGTATTGAAGCACAGAGTTCATGGAAGGGAGGAGAGAAAGATGAACCTAGAAAGTAAGGAAGCCCCAGGACTTGAAGATCCTTGAATGTCAGGCTACAGAGCTTGAACTCTGTCCTTTAAGCAGTAGGAGCCACTGAAGGTTTTTGTGTAGGAATAACATAACTATATCTGTGTCAAAGAAGGAATGACCTGGCAGTTGTACGAAGGATGAATTACAGGCTATTGCAATAATCCAGGCAGACAGCATGGGGCTTTTAACTCTAGGACCAAAAGTATCGCATTGAGTAACTTTGATTATACCCTGGATACTACAAGAAAGGCAGCATTACACAAGGAAAGAACCTATCTCACCTCTGATACTTTCTACCTGCCCAGCCTTGGACAAGTCACAACCTCCCAGAGCCTCATTTTCCCCACCTGCAAAAAGAGGGGGCTAGACTTAGATGGCTTCTGAGGCCCTAGACTGAGGAACACAGAAGGCAAGCGCTCTGTGAGCCTGCCAGTATCCCGAGCTAAAGAGTGAAGCATGTTGAAGGACATGAAGGTAAGATCCTAAAGGAAATTCAAAGCCGGTAACTTCAACAGATTTTTCCCAACACCGCAATCTCATGTACCAGAAGGATTACATCAAGGGGCTAAAAGTCACTCGCCTTCAAAAAATGCAGGTACAAAGTGTCCTGTATCCCAACCAAGTTCCTAAGTCCACTATAGACACTCAGCAATTCTATTAATCTCTTCTTCTTGAGTTCCTAGTAGTTCCTTGTTCCTTGAGTTCCTAGTTCCACTGTAGCAACTGTTACAAGTATTTATCCTTAAATTTCCAAATGCTTTCTGATTCTTTCCAATCCTCACTCTCAGATGAATTTACCTTTTATTTTACAGAGATCCAGGTCGTTTTGGTCTAAGTGCCCTGACCATATTTTTTTTCTACTCAAACTGTGCTACATCAACTCTTTAATCCTTCCTTCTAGTCTTGGAGGACAAGATGCTCCTCCCATTCTTTAAACCTAATCTTTTCATTTATGCTCATGAATCCATCCAGTTTCTGACAGAAGGAAAGACCTGGCTCCCAAACTTATTGTTCCTTTCTAGCAATCTCCAATCCCACTCCTATGCCTGGAGTGAGTATTTGACAAAAGATTCTTCTTACAAGATATCCTGATAAAAATACTTTTATGTAATATTACTGATCATCCTAGTTAAGTGCTCACTATGTGTCAGGCACTGTGCTAAGTGCTGACAATAAAAATAAATATAAGGAGAAAGGCAGACCCTGTCCACATTCTCAAGGAATGTACATTCTAACATGGGAAGACAGCACATGAAGGAGATGGGGGGAGAAAAGATATGAAAGCACCCAGCAAGCTGTTGTTGTGTTTGTCCTTCATCTCAAAGAGGACCATGACATCAGGGAGATGATGACATGACTTGCAATTGACTTTGTTTTGAGTGAGGGAGCCCTGTGCAAGGCCACCAGCCTCACTTTCTCCTCCAGAGCTATCTGGGTCCAGTGGCCAGATATTCATCAGGATGACTGGAGATGGCCCATGATGCAATGGGAGACCCTGGCCCTTTCAAGCTAAGGTCTTTTTAGGTTTTCACTTTGAGTGAGGTAATGCCCATTCAGTGAAGTAATGCCCATTCAGGTTTTCACTTTGAGTGAAGTAATGCCCATTCCCTCTTTAAGAAGTGGGTCAAGGGATGGCCCCTTTAATTAAAAAAATCAAACTGGGAGGGGAAGTATGGATTAAAATTTTGCTGGCCAAAAGAGAAAGCTACTATTTACATTCACTCAGAGCCAGGAGGGCCCAAAAAATAACCATTAAGTGGTGCTTGGGCAGGGACCTTTTGTTGTCCAACCTATGCGCTCTAGAGTGAATTGGGTTTAAAGCTTAGTCTTTGAGAAGGTAATTTTGATGACCTAGCAACTAGAAAAATCTCAAAGGGTCAGGAATGCAGCCTGAAGATGAATGAAGATATGATTGGCTTGGGCATCCTCCTTAAAATGGTAGTTCTGGAAGGAACTAGCCAATCAGAGGCAGATATCATAGGTCCCAGATGGTTCTTCCAATGGGAGAGATCCAAGGGTGCCATAAGCTTCCAGGGTGAAGAGGTTTCTATAACCTGGTAGAGAAAGTCTAGAGAGTCAGAAGGGCAGCAGGGAGAAGAATGAAAACCTGACTTACAAGACCCCCAGTCTTCAGATCTTATCTACTCATCCAGACTTAGAATCTTGGAAGTCGTCTTTGACTTCTAATCAATCATCAAGCCTCATCAATTTCCCTTGTCCCAAACTTATTCCTTCAGAATTCACAGTGTCAGGGGCATTTAGGTGGCGCAGTGGATAGAGCACCGGCCCTGAAGTCAGAAGACCTGAGTTCAAATCCGGCCTCAGATCAAACACTTGACACATACTAGCTGTGTGACCTTGGGCAAGTCACTTAACCCCAAAACACCTAAAAAAAAAAACAAAACAGAATTCACAGTGTCTTCACTGAGGCCCTTATCCCTTTGAGAATTGCTACAACAGTCTCCTCAGTGAATCCTTATATCCTGTATGTACTTCCTCCAACTTATACTGCACCATTATTGTTTATCATACTATTCCTCTGCTTAAGAGCTTCAAATAAAAGAAACTGACGAGGCCAGTGAGTCTGGGTTTCAAAAATTTGTTTGTAACACCTGATGG